CAGAAACATTCATCTATGAAATAATAACTGAACAGAAACATTCATCTTTAAAATAATAACTGAACAGAAACATTCATCTATAAAATAATAATTGAACAGAAACATCCATCTATAAAATAATAGTTGAACAGAAACATTCATCTATAAAATAATAATTGAACAGAAACATCCATCTATAAAATAATAATTGAACAGAAACATTCATCTATAAAATAATAATTGAACAGAAACATCCATCTATAAAATAATAATTGAACAGAAACGTTCATCTATAAAATAATAATTGAACAGAAACATCCATCTATAAAATAATAATTGAACATTATTTATGTGAGGAGGAGCTTTGAGTTTAACTCCATCACAGAACTCTCATCTTGAACAAGTATGAAGGCGACAGTGGAAAGAAAAACCCCTCATGAGGAAGAAACCTTTAGCAGGATCAAGGAGCAAGTTGTCGGGTTTGGTAGTAACAAATACACAATGGCAGGTCAAGAATCACATGTTAAGATAGAAATAGTATCAAATGAAAACTATTCAATTTTAACAAAAGGAACTTCTTTATCTCCCTGACTGTCTCTAATTAACTCCATATAGAAAATGAAACAACAGTTTTTAATTTTCACTTTACTGTATTGATTATTGTATGTACTGACAAGGATTAGGGCCACAGAATTGTTTTAATCAGAATTCTGACTACAATATCAGAATTGTAAGATAGAATAAAAACATTTACCACTGTGACGCTAACCCTCCTTCCATACCTGTCTTGTACACAAAACTGCTGATCGCCAACTTTGTAGATACAAAACCATATAAACATGCTGGGCTGCAGGAACTAATTAATAATCAATGATTATCGCCCACATTGAGGCAAAAGGGCAGAGCTGTGTTAGCAAAACATTTCATGAACCACATGATGGATTTTAATACCATCAGAAAGTCATCAGTAGATGTGATTATCCTTCAAGATGGCCGTCACAGCTGATCAATACTAGCAACACATCTAAACTCAGCCACTTTGACAGATACTCAGCTAGAGTTGGGCGTGGTAGTAGCTGAGAGTCATCATTAACATGAAACTGAGAGATAACGTGAGGTACGTTGTTAAAATTCTTTGTTTATTGTTTGAGTCTTTTATTAGCAACATATCTCATGAACCACTGAGCAGATGTGAATGAAACTAATTACTGTGTTTGTATCTACAACTGGTTAACTTTAGGAGTCATCCCAGTTGAAGTCGACTGCGATCTAATTTTAGGAAACACCAAAATGACGGTACCTCACTTTTACAGTCAGTTCACTAAAAAAAGTTGTAGTAGCTAAGACTAATTCACAACACACACTTTGAGCTCTGCACGTTGCTCGGTGTCTTGGACATTAAATGTTAGTCAACCGTCTTATTAACCAAAATGGTCTTGGTCTAAAACACCAAGAACAATATGCTGGTGAAGAACAAGAACACCAAGAAGAATATGCTGGTGAAGAACAAGAACACCAAGAACAATATGCTGGTGAA